CTTCCGATTTGATTTGAAACTGTCTCATTGCTATCTGTTTATCAATAAAATTTTGAAAAAAAAAGAATCTGGTTATTAAATTCCTCTTACTTGGGGGCCGGGGAGATGGCTCAGTAGAATAAGCGCTTGCCTGGCAAGCGCAGGGTCCCTAGTTCAACCCCTGGTCCTGCCAAAAAAAACAAATAAATAAAATAAATTCCTCTTACTTAGGGCAAGAACACAAGTTTTGGAATTAGACCATTAGTGAGAGTTTTATCGGGGTTGGGGTTAGGAGGCTGAGTATTGAACCCAGGGCCTCCACAGTGAGCCATATCCTCAGCATTTTAACCTTTTTTTTCTTTAGCTAGAGTCTCACCAAATTGCCCAGCCTGATCTTAGACTTATTTCCCTTTTGTCTTAGCCTCTCAGAATGCTGGAATTAGAAGCTTGCACCACTATGCCTGACTCCATCAGCGATATCGTAACAAGAAAATATTCCTGAGCTTCAGACTGTTCACCTATTAAATGGAAGTAATCACTCTTACCTGGTAAGGTTATCTTTAGGATTAAATGAGATAATACATATTCAAGGTTCAATGTTGTATTCTTTAACAGATAGAACTCAATAAAGCACTATTACTACCAAAAAATTAGACCTTGATTTTCCCCATCTGATGCTTTTCAGGTAGAGTCTCCTATAATTGTCCTGAACTGTTTTTCATGACAAACAGACCTCAAAACTGACCACTCTGAAACCTCTTGTCCTGGAACCACTTGCTGGACTTATCAGAGGAACAGAACTGATACTGCTAGAGTGCTGGAGCTCACGGTTAACTCCAGAACATGCACCCAGGCACACCGTGCACGCATGCACACAGACCCACAACATTCTGTGGAAGTCTCAGGAGTTTGGGCCGAAGCTCAGGAATTTCACAAGGCAACTGAGTGACCCCAGCTTTGCCTATGCACAAAACTATGACAGGAGTTTGTTCATTGCCACCTGAGGCCAAAAGAAGGGCATGATTACAAGAACTGTGATAACGGAGCGTGGAGAAGGCTTGGGGCTCCTCGCACCCGGCCTGCCATAGCTAAGGGATGCTGGTCTGATGACAGTCGACCCTCAAGTGCTTAGAGGGCACGGTTCCCTCTTCTCACTAATCCTGCCTTTTTCTTTATGTCTCTCAATTCAGCAAACATGGATATCAGTGCCCGCCACAAGCCAGGAACTGGGGGAAGAGGCGAGCATTGCTTAGCGCCTGGGAGCGCTCAGCCTTGTAAGCAGGATGGCCACCAGGACAGCAGTTGCCAGCCAACAAAGGGCATCCAGATGGTTCTCTGGAAAAGGAAGGCTGGCCCGGGCTTGCTGCTGGCTACCCTAGTGTCCACGGAGCTCAAGGCAGGACAGCTCAAGGCTGACAGCAGGAATGTCGTGGGCTACTCACCACAGTGGTTATCAACATGGCCCTGGCCCACGCCACAGGACTCGGCCTGCCGCTCCGATGCTCTGGGAGACTTTTTAGCCACATCGAGGTCCATGCCTGAGAGCTGGAGGTGAAACTGCTCCCGGTGCGTGGCCTTCCTGAGTGTGCGGAGCGCCTTCCGCAGCCGCTTCTCTGCACGCTTTGCTAGGCAGCTCAGATTACAGGAAGCTGCAGAAAGAAGAGGGACAGCAGCTTGGAGGGAGGGCAGGCCACAGGGTGTGGGGATGTCCAGACTAACTGTGGGGCCCACCAGAACCCCAAGATCTCAGGGGACCAGAAGGAGGACACCTGGAGGTGGGCACCTAGCCAGCTGGGCAGCATTCATTCAATTCCAACAGGAGTTGTTGACCAAAAAGGTAGCTTTCATTTTCATGAAGCAAAGCAAATCGTCAAGTCAGGTTCTAAACCAATATCGTGTAGTTTGGGGAGGGGGTGAAAATAAAACAGGAGATACTTCAGTGTTTGCACTATTTTTCCTCCCAGGCATTGTGAAAAAATGAAAGGCAAAGAAAGACGAAGCAAGCTGTGAGAAGCCTGGCACCACAGTGGCTTTCAGACCAACCTGTCACCTCCTTTGGGTAAGTTTCACGCTCAAACTCAACAGTGAGAAACATTTCCTTGGGGGCGCTGGGTCGACCAGGGGCTCCCGGGACTTGCTTGCCAGAGCTGCATGTAAGGTTTGCGTAGTGGAAGCTCTCTTTTACTGAGCTGTGCTTCTCTGCATGAAGAAACAAAATTATCGGAAGCCAAGTCCTAGCAAAGCACTCAGTTGGACATTCGCTAGAGCTCAGTAAACATTTCATGAAAACAGCTCTCCAGGGATTGCATGAGGAACTCCACATGCTAGGACACCGCAAGCCCCCAACTTGGAGCGCATGCACATTTTCATTTGGAAGTCCCAGTGCTGCCTCCTACATAACTTTACAATCCAGCTCTTGAGAATGCTGTTCATGGATAAAGGCTGCTGTTTCTCCCTGACCCGCCACATGGGCGGGAGGCGGAGCCAGGGGCCTCTGCTTTCCTGCCTTGCTAAGGTGTTCTCACAGCCAGACTCTGAGGGCCTGAGCATGAGCTAAAGCCTTTGCCGAAGCCTTCACACAGGCAATGAGCTCAGCGGCAGAAAGGAAACCAGGCAAACTGATCTTGGTGAGATTCTAACCCGGAGGGTGAGCTGGAAAGCACATCCACAGTGATCTCTCTCTGTCTCTGTCTCTGTCTCTGTCTGTCTGTCTGTCTGTCTGTCTCTCTCTCTCTCTCTCTCTCTCTCTCTCTCTCTCACGTGTTTTTAGTGCAGGGTCTACAGGGACTCACTACACAGATTGGATTCGTAGTGATCCTCCTGTTTTTCAGCCTCCCAAATGCTGGGATTATGGGCGTGCACCACCGCACCCACTCTCAATTGCTGTCTCAGCATGCCCGGGGGCGGGGCCTGCACCACACACTGGGTATGGAACCCCAGTCCCTATGCATGCCTGAGCAGGCACTTTAGTCCGCTGAGCTATCTGGTCAGCCCCCAATGTATCATTTTTAAGTCACCACGAACAATTTGTGGCACAAAGAATCAACAGAACTGAACAGTATGCTGATGGTATCTGCCATGATGGTGGAAGTTTCGAGTATCGCTATTCTGGACTTTGGCGTCTGCTCTGCCCCAGTGACTTCCTGAGTCTGTTGCCCAGTGATTGCTAACCCAACCAAACCAAAGAGTAGAGCTCCATATACACACAAGGAATTTGTCTCTGTTTCAAAATCTGACTTTATCCAACTGAAGAATTATCTGTGTGGTATTCGTTTACATTACAAAGAGTTCAAATCAACAGGTCACTGGGGTGGAGAGGAAAGAGGCAAATTCACTCTTCTCAATATTTTGCCCTCAAAGATATGTTTTACATTTTCAAAAAGCTAACTTCAAATTGTAAACTGCACAGACATTCATTTTGAGCGTTTTTCTTTTCAACTTTCTTACCTCTTATTTTATTTTATTTTATTTTTGTATTTGGTACAGGGCCTACAGGGTCACACTACGTAGATCGGACTTGTAGTGATTCTCCTGTTTTCAGCCTCCCAAGCACTGGGATTACAGGTGCAGGCCACCACACCCAGTCCATTATCTCTTATTTTTAAAAAAATTATTTTAAAGAAAGTTTTGGTATATAAAACTTGCTAAGATAGCATAGAAAGTTCCCATATATATCTTCCACTCAGTTTTCCTTAATATTAACATCATACTTGAACATCATATTTATCAAAACTAAGAAATTAAATCAGGGATGGTGGTGCACCCCTGTAATCCCAGCAATCGGGAGGCTGAGGCAGGAGGATTATGGTGAGTTGGAGGTCAGCCTGGGATACATAGTGAGTTCAAAGCCAGCCTAAACTGCATAGAGTGGCCCTGTCTCAAATAAAATAAAATAAAATACCACTAAGATATTAACAGTGGTACAATCCCATAAAGTCAAGTCCAGGACAAATCATCTATTTTTTAAATAGCTCTTTCCTCCTGATTTTAAAATATAAATGTCCACTGTGGAGATTATGAAAAAAAAAAAAAAAAAAAAACCAGAAAAATACAAAATTATCCATCATCCTCTCACATAGGTATGATATAAACATTCGTATGGCATCATGAGCTTTCTTGTGTTCCTTCTTCTTTATATTTTCATGCACATTTTGGGTTGTATTAGATATAAAAAATGTTATTGTCCCATTTTCCTATTCAGCACTATAACAAGTATAACAAGAACATTTTCTTCTGTCATCAAACATTCATTGAGTACATTCAATTAATACAATTTGATCAAATGAAGAAACCAAAATTGATCTCGGTTATCAAAAGTGAATACTGAGCTTTCTGTTTGTGTGACTTATTTAAAGGTAGGTTGGGAAAGAAACCTAATAAATAAATCCTGATTTTTAGTTACCTAAAGCATTCTCCGAAACATTACAGGAAATGTGAGCTGGAGAAGGAGGAGAATGCTAGACTCTGCACATTTCACTAAGTCTCGGTGGCACTGGTTTTGCTGAAGCTAATGGAAAGGAACCCTGGGTATTACATCTTTGTTCATCAAAGTTATCATATCAGAGCCAACTCTTTTTGGGGGGAGGGTGTACCAGGAATTGAACTCAGGACTTCAGGCTTGCCAGGCAGGAGCTGCACCACTGAGCTAAACCCCGGCCCCCTGTTTTTATTTATTTATTTTCTTCATTTCTTTGGCTTATCTTTCTAGCAAACATTAAAATCTAGAAAATTTAACCCAATATGATCACAGATTGGTAATTCATCTTAAGTTATAGACTCTTGCCAACTCAGGGTGCTCCAGGGTTCATCAGCTATCTCTTAAAGGAAGCCCTGTGGCAGACAGGGGTGCCTGGCGGGTTCTTCTTCCCCTGGGAACAAAGTCCCTGCAAGTGCTGAAGTGTTCCCGAGAGAGCCTGTCCAAGCTCAGATCTCCAGCTCGGCCCCATCCCTGTATGCAGGTAAGCTCCAGCATCCAATGTACTGGCAAGCGGCAGCTATCAGATTCCATACCTGGCAGTGCTGGTCGTAGACCCTCAGGAAACAGCTCAGCCTTTTTCAAACTACACTTGCCTTCATTTAGCTTAAAGGTTACACTTGTCCTGATGGTGGCGACATCTTCAGAAAGAAACAAGTGAGAGAAGTTACCTTCCGAGACCAAGGAAGGGAAGCACCAGGGGGGTGATGGCGATCGTCCATTGGCTGGGACCCACCCGATGACACACAGCCCAGGCCCCAAAAGGGATGGATCATGGAGCACCCATTCCCCCAGAGCAGACACCTGGAGGCAGGAGTTACCCTATTGCCTCCTGGAAGATAGGAATTCAATGTCCAAATATAATAGCAAAGAAAGGGCCCCAAAGAAGCTACACAGAGAGATAAGACGCAAGGTAGGTTGTGGGAAGACAGTGAAGAGCAGACTTTTGATGCCTGCAGTAAGAAGACAGGGCCGAGGCAGCTGCCATTCCAGGAGTGGTGAGATTTCCAGGGCTGGCAGGGAGCAAGGCTCTGCTTTTAGGAGCTGATACTCAGAATTCTGTTCACTTCCCAGAATTAGTCTTAAGTATATGTTAGGCTCTGTAGTCTATGACCTAGATGTAAACTCTAGCTCTTTGCCTTGTGGCCAGAGCTTGAACAAGTGCCTTAATCTCTCTATGTCTCATAATTACGCAAGTATGTTACCAGGCTGTTCTGAGGATTAAACGAGATAAGGCCAAAGAAGAAAAAACAAAAAGAGTATAGCTTAGTGCCGGGTACAAAATAAGAACCGAGTAACTGTTAGCTGTTTATCTATCACTGGGGTAGCCTAAATCACCAAGGAATCCTTATCCGGCAAAAAGAGCGGGGAAGGATGGTGTTTAAGACTCGGAACCCAAGCTGCCTGGGTTCAAACCTTGGCTCCTTTATTCCTTATCTGAGAAACTGGTAAGTTAGCGCGTCTCTGAGCCTTAGGTCACCTGGTTAATGAGGATAATAAAAAGCCTGAAGCGGAGGGATATAGGGCAAATTAAATCAGCTAATACACACAGTAAGGTAGCTGGTATATTTTAACTACTCAGTTTCTGTTTGCTTTGGGTCACTAGCTTTGCTCATAAATGTCATATGCATAGCAAGCTGTCAGATGGGCCAGTTGTGGGACACAAGCCTATAACACAGCATTCAGGAGGTTGAGGCAGGTCACTATGAGTTCAAGGTCAGCATGGACTACATGGTGAGACCCTGTTTCAAAACACAAAAATGCTACAACACAAGCCTCATTCAAACATTCTCAAGACATAGTGACAAATGGATAAATATCTAAGAAGAGGAGACCCTTGAAAACCCTGGACTTCATTCTTAATCTTTTGACAGCTGGATAATGTGTGGGCCTCTTTCTCAGGACAGAATCCCTGCCACCCATTTTCTGCTCAGGCCCATCTCCACCAGTGCCAGGTGCCCCAGGCGTGTCTCCTTCAGGGCTTTGAGATACTCCGGGGTACCAGGAGTTTGAGAGCCCTGAGTGTCCTGGCTCCAGGCTCTTTGGACCTCTATGCAGAATGATGACTACCAGGGCAAGCACAGCACACAGTGGACCCTCAGTACATGACAGTATGTGTGCAAGTTAGAGCTCAGGCACCAAGGGTACAGACAAGAACAACCTGTCACATGCTCACAGCATGGAGATTAAGAAAAAGAAGAAAACTAAGCTAACCCCCAAGAACAGCACCTCATGAATGAACCCCATTTAGCCCCAGAAAGAACACACAGATTCAGTAATTACCCCCAAAAGCAGAGTCATTTGACTTTTGCTGTTTGTTCCTAAGAGGAGGAGAGCCGCAGGTGACAGAGTAGGCCTCTTGCAGTCCTAATAGACAGAATGAGGATTGTCACATGAGTAAATAAGGTTACAGGCTGTGCTGTAGCAGCCAATATTGCCCCAGTCCTGCTCCTCATATGATGATAGAAAAAGACCCAGCCTATGGTGTCCCAAAGCACAGGCCTCTGGTGGCCAGGAAGTATCTGGCCAAGGACATGAAAGCCTACTGAGAGATCATCAGACATCTATAGGCCTGGAAGCCCCTGTCCTGGCATGAGGATCTGCCCCAGGACCTGGGCCCCACTCACCTGAAGAGAGGCGAATGCCAGAGTGACATCTTAGGAAGCACCTGTCTCCTCCACCACTCTTACTGCAAAGCAGGGACACGTGGGGTGACACGCTAGCGGGCGGGAACCCCTTCACTTCTAAACAGGACAAAACACAGACATTTGCAGAAAGAGAAGGACATTGCCAAGTGTGACAAGGATGGCTGCATCGCACGCACCAAAAGCCCCAAGAACAGAAGGTGGAGCTGACGGCCACATAGAACATGGCACCAGGCCTCATTTCCCACCATGGTCCACGAGCCCTTGTGTGCTATTTTTTCATGCAGAAAAGCAACAGGAAAACAGATATGAGTTCCAACCTACACAGAAGCACAGAAGGAAATGCCAAAGAGCCTGCAAAGTATCTCCTGTTTTTGGATTACTTAAAGACCAGCCGCTACCGCTGATGGGGGGAGAATTCAGTGGAAAGTTAGGGGCACTGGGCACAGTGGCACATGGAACCCTCAGAGCCTCGGGCCTCTGGGCCAGCATTGAGCCCCCCGGCTGAGCCTGCACCAAGGTGGGCACCCCTTACCCACACAGTCCTTTTTGTTCCAGTGGAGTTTGTACCCTGGATGGCACTGGCACTCGTAGTCACCCACTGTGTTCACACAGACCTGCTGACAGCCGCCATTGTTGTCGCTGCATTCGTTGGTGTCTGCAGAACAAACACTTCCCTGTCACAGAACATCACTGAATGGCTGACACTGTCCCTCTGTTGAGGAAGGGGCACCAGTGAAGTCACATGGTTGGAAGTCACCAAAGGGAAGATGCTCCTTGCCTTTGGGACACGGGTGTGGCACCTGCTGGACACATATACACTCCCTGATGTCATGAATCTCTCCAGCAAGGACTCAAGTTCCAACCCCAACCAAACCATTGCCCTATTAGGGACAGTCAGAGGGACCACACTCTACTTCCAGATGTCCAAACTCAAACAAGGTATAGGGTTCTAATTTAAAACTCCACCATAATCTGGGCCATACAGCATGGGAGACACAGAAGGAGGACTCCCTGCTTGATTCCATAGTTGAGGAACAGAGAGGGGAAAGGAGTCTGCCCTGATCTCTGTGAACCTGAGACTGAATCCAGGTCAGAAGGCGGCTCACCCTAAACCAAGATTCATGTCTGTCTCAGAGTAGATTTTTTTTTTTTTCTGGAGTTTCCCAGTGGGCTGGGAAGGGTGTGTTTTTATCTATGCTAAGGATGTATTGAAAAGAAGGGAGACAATATTACCTATAAACAAGTCCCACCACTAGCCACTTATCTCAAAGCACAAGACACAAGGATTGGGCAAAAGGTATTCTGACCAGGGGTTCCCAAATCCTGTAGATCTTCAGAATCACCTTGAGGGCTCTAAAAGTTCTGGCTGGAATCCATGATTTTAATTGCCTCAGTCTCCCAGACAGGCACCACTATAGAATCTGAATCTGTATTCTCAAAGATTTCTGGGTGAATCTGACGGCCTGGAGAGTAGGAATGATTGGTACCAAGTCTATTTGTGGTGCTGCATGCTTGATGATAAACTGATGGGACATGAGAACACATTGCTAAAGAGACAGAGTGGAGAGATAAAGGCAATCGTTCCCTTTCCAGCACAAAGACCCAAGCTGTGGCACCCTGGCCAAGCTCCGCAGCCAGCACATATGCACAGCTGGGCTCGGGAACCGCCTAGAGCCTGCCACACCTTTCTGAGTGCTACGTCTTGACAGTCTGCTGGAAAGTCCAGCTGATGAGTCTCAGCTCCTGACAGACCCTCCCATTCCCTGAATACAGCCCCAAGTCAACAAAGCCAGTGACAAACCTACAGCTGCTCCGGTTCACACATAATGTGCTGAAGGATCCACGTGGACCAATCCCTTCAGCAGGTGCCTCCCTGGGCTGCAAGGACTTGTTGCCACTGGACAGGGGCTAGGTGTACCTCCGCCTCCAGCGTAGGAAAGTCTCCCACCCCACACCCCTCAGACCCAGCCTCACCCCACCTCCCAACCCAAGAGAGGTGGTCCACTCACCTCCACAGTGGGTGAAGCCATAGAGGGTGTACCCTGTGTCGCAAGCGCAAGCAAATGTGCCAGGGTGGTTGAGGCAGCTGTGGTCACAGGTCCTATCCAAAGAGCACTCATCCACATCTGCAATTGCCAAGGGGAGAGGGGAGCTGCAGCTGACTTTGATATGAATGGAGAGGTTCCCAACACACACCAACTTCAGACCAACAAGAGAAAGCGAGGAGAGCATTCATTCTCCTCACTTGATGTATGGGGTGCTGAGCAGCCCGCAATAAGTACAAGCAACACCAGGGCCCTTGTTTCCAAACTGTGTTGCAAATTTACTTTTCTTGAAGCTCACTTGGTCTTTCACCCATGCATATTTGCAGGGGTGAGTAATTTAAATCATATATACACAGCCAAATGAGGTAACACACCAAAAAGGGCTTTTACAAACTACACTATAAGTAATAAGGCTGGCTACACACTATTAGGGTTATATCACTACTACTACTACTACTACTACTAATAGTAGTAGTAGTAGTAGTAGTAGTAGTAGTAAAACAGCGATCATCATTTTTCAAGCTATGGTGAAATGAAAGGAGAAAATACTTGGATTGAAGGTAAATCTGGTTCTCATGTCTTTCTGATCTTTCTAGAATCAGTCTTCTGGTTCCTGGGCACTAAAACCCTGGGTTTTAATGCCATCTTCACTGAAAGAATACACTAACACTAACATCCTCAGTACTGAAACTCAGTGGCTAAACTCAACCAGATCCACTTGGCCACTCACTTGGTTCTGCATCGCCTTTCTGCCTGGCTCCCTGTTCCTGCACCCATGGCTGCAGCTGGGGCCAGGCAAGCCAGCCTCTGAGGCTGCACTTGTCTGTCTAATCGGCGCTTCCATGGTCTGGTCCTCACCTCTTCCCTGTGAACTAGACCTGCAGTGCCTCACTCCCTAAGCTCTTCAGGGGGTTTAACAGTTACAACTTGACTCTCCAAATGGGTAAGTCAGGACTCGACAGCACTCAGTGGAAGCCGACCACACCATCACTAGGCCACTTTTTCAACACCAAATGTGTCCCGAGAAACTACGTTAATAAAAGGCAAACATTTGGATGGCTCGAGGAATGAATGCGTGAAATAAGAAGGGCGATTTCTCACAAAACCTTTTCCTCCCCAGCTTTTCCCAGCAACCCTGGTGTTTTCTTCAGCAAATTTGTTCTCTGCAAATATTTGTTCTACAAAGACCACTCAGTGAAAAATGAGAAAAAATCAGTTTCTTCCCTGGTAAGTGATGCCATTCTGTGAAATCTGTTATTAATATCAGCTATTTGCCAAGAAAGGGACTTGTTCAGTAGCTGACTTTGGCTGCTCGCTACGAGCCTTTGCTTTGCCAAAAATAATGAGATCACTTTCCTAATTCTTTTTTAATGTGTTTACACAGCTTAAACAGGACTGCTTGCTCTATACATTATGAAACATTATGTGGAATAGCAAATTTGCTTTCCAAGTCAAACTGTACAAAAACCACACAATAATCATCCAGAGTTAAATTCCTCATTGAATTTAAGGAAGAATATACTTGAACCGCCTGGCAACGAGTTGACTTGCACTGCCCTATGTATTAAGAACAGAGCAATGGGAAGAAAAACCTAACTCAGACCATACAGTTTTTTTTAAAAAGACATTAACATCTTTATTATAATCTGACATGAAATCAGAGTTTATATTCTTATTTTTACTTACTGTAGATTTTAAAAACAAAAAGTATAGCAGTTCTTATTTCCAGAAACAGAACAGAAATAGTTGGACAGCATGCATTGCCTGACAGCTTCCACCTGTACCTCAGATATAGGATGTAAAAGGTATGTCACCTAAACATATAAATGTTGGCGTGTCCTGAAACAGCTTTCTATCACCCAAAAGAGGTGTTAATGCCACATGCTGCCTGGGGAGTCCCCTTGCTGCCCCCCTTAGGAAGGATGCATTTGATAAGGGGTTCACCCAGTGTCTGCTTCCCACAGTCCTCTCCTGCCCTTTCATCCTCCCTTTCTCCAAGCATCAAAGGCTACAAAAGCCAAGGGGAAAGCTGAACATCTATAATCCTAACTATTAGGAGGCTGAGGCGAGAGGATTGCAACTTCAAGGCCAGCTTATGTAACATAGTAAGACCCTGTCTCAAAATTTAAAAATTAAAAATGGGCTGGGGATGTAGCTCAATGCAAGGGCCTGGGTTCAATCCTCAGTAACCACCCCACAAAGGGGTTACAAATAATACACCAACAGTCTCATGGGTTTCATTATTGGTTGACCCCAACTTTTTACTGGGAAGGCATGTGACCTAAATATACTTATTTTTGGCATCAAGTTTTGTCATAAATTTAACAACATGAATGCAAATTTTAGGTTTATCTATTTATTTATTTATTTATTTTGGCAGAACCGGGGATTGAACTCAGGCCTTGCGCTTGCTAGGGAAGCACTTATTCCACTAAGCCATCTCCCCGGCCCCAAAAACAAATTTTAGAAAAGAAAACTTATTTATACTCTCAGGGCTAAGGATGTAGCCCTTACCCCTCAGTGGTAAGGAGCTTGACTGATACTCACAAAGCCCTGGGTTTAATCCCCCAGCACTGATAAAAGAAAAGAAAAAGAGAAAGGAAAACAAAAGTTATTCGTAATCTCAACACCCAGTGCAACTCTGCTCCAAGTCTGTGTTCCATTCCATTTCTAGCAGCAAGCTCTGCTGTAATCACCAGATGGATTCTTTAAGGCATTCTCTAATCATTAACAGCTGAATCTCCAAAATATACCTGTGAGCCCCCTCAGTGGTTTTGGTCTACCCAGCTGACGGGTTAAGCGAAGCCTGGATAGATTAGTGGCTGCTTACATTAGTGACTCTGTCAGGAAGCGGGGTAAACTAGCTTCTAGGAAAGCAGCGGTGGGAGACGCAGAGTTAACATCTCTTTCAACCAGAGGCCACAGCCCAGCTATATTTTCAGCACGCACCTTGGCAAGACTTCTCATCGGTTAATAATTTGAATCCTTTTTTGCAGCTGCAGTCAAAACTGCCCACGGTGTTTTTGCAGAAATGATCACAACCTCCATTTTGGGTCTGGCACTCATCGATATCTGTAACAGGCAAGCACTGGAAAAATCAAAGAGAGCCATACCTGCCTCACCTCCTACAAATCTCTGGAGTGCCACTGCCTGCATTTGTTATTCTCTGAAATAAAGACAGACCCATAAAGGCATCCAAGAACGTCTGCTGTTTTGGCTCTTACACGGGGCTCCTCGTCTTGGCTGACGCAGTTTTGAAGGACAAATGTCTTGTTTTGAGAATGCTGACTTCCAATGCTCCTGACAAGCATTAAGTAAACAAACGATGGGAAACAGTGGTGATAGCCTGTTATACTTTCATCCCGTGGTACTCACTCACGATAAGCTAGCTCCCGTTAGTGCACTGTCTCTTCCAGCTTAATGATTAAAGCTATCAGAGAGTGGAGCATTTGTTTTGGCAAATTGTATAATGATCAAATGGCCTCAACGTTTTTTTAAATGATTACTGATACTCAATCTTATCTCTTCTCAGTTTCATCTGGTAACTGGTTATCCATCTTTTATCACTAATCCTTTGTACTCCTGCCCATAAAATAATAGCGAGTCACTGGGCCCTGTCTTCATCAGTAAAAGTTAATGTACAGCTATTCATTAAGTTCTCTGGATAATAATCTTGGCTGTTATTTACATAATAATCTCAAGGCTATTATTTATAACAGGTTGATATTATCTCCTGCCAATGAATATTTCCCTGAACTGCCTTTTGCTAATAAGGCCACACCCCAAAATGGGTCATTTGAAGCTTGACCTTCTCAACAGTTAGTGTAATTAAGATGGCTCTAATTAAGCTTACTCAATTATAACCGTCCACTGGCTCAGGGGGAAATCTCACATCAATATGAATCATAAACCAATCTGGAGTCACTCTCCCACATCAGCAGCGTGGGGCTCCATCGGCAAAATACGCGGTGAATGTTACCTTTACACGTCTTTCCATCCAACTGGAGAGTGAAGCCGACTGGACAACTGCAGTGAACGCCTGTCGAGGTGTCCTTACAGGTGCGGTCACAACCTCCATTGTTGACAGCACATGTTTCTGAGCAGGTAGAAAAGGCAGTTAGTTTCCCAAAGTAGTACTGATACAGCTGTTAATATTTGACAAAGATTGTAAAAGCCAGAAAGCATGGTGGGGTTCTCCTGGTCAAATCCCAAGTCATGCCACGTGCAGGTGAGATAGATGGGGAGCAGGTGTGGTTCTAGGTCCTCCCACCCACCTAAGTAAGTGGTTGGTATTTCTGAAGGAAGTTGGTCAGAGTGCCAGAAGGGTGAGGATGTCTCCCAGTCCCCAGAGTGGTTCCCTGCTGTGGGCAGATTTAAAGCTGCTAATGGTTGCTGTTAATGCCCAGCCAGCAACCTGCTCACTATGGCCTCAGACGCAGACTAGCTGTGAATGCACAACAGGGCCACAGGGGAATGTTCCATTCTTAATCTCAAACCTTTTTTCAGCCTGGATGCCGAGAGAGAGAGAGAGAGAGAGAGAGA